TTTTTTTCCTTTCAGCTTATAGCTGTATGAAATTTAGATGGCTAATCCCTTTTTGTTATTTTTTTTCCAGTTTTCAGCTATTCTGGCCATTATATTCTTCATCCAGTTAGCTCTGGGAGTGTTTGTCTTTGTGTTTCAAGATAAAGTAAGTCTGTCAAATTTACATTTTTTGGCATTTCTTGTTTATAAAATTTGCAGCATAATCTATTATTAACTGAAAGAAACAAAGTTAACATACTTACACTGTATACAAATAACAGAAACAACAAAGAATGATCATGGTTTGGAAATGATTTTTCCAACTTGCATTGTTTTAAAATACTTGCTTGTCATATATAACCTTTATTCAATTTGGATTTACGGAATTCCCTTTACTGCTTATATCTCAGAACGAGAGAGAAAAAAAGAAAACAACAGAATTATCCAGAAAATTCACATCTAGTTATTGTATGGCAAGGTAGTCTTGAGGTTAATCGAACATTCTGATTGGTTCTTTCTTGCTGGGGATTTTGCCAAATCTAATAAATATGTTTCCACTGAATCATGCTTTCTGTCTGTAGGAAATGTTTAATTAATGTACGTCAGTGTAACTTAAGTAACTGACAAGACTTCAATGTTGATTTTCAGGTTGAAGGCTTTGTTTCAAAAAAAATAGAGTCAACAATCATAAACTACAGAGATAATGTAGACTTGCAGAGTTTTATTGATGGTGTTCAACAAAATGTGAGTGTTTTTTTGGTTTGTGCAATTTAAAATACCAGTAATTATTTATTATAAGTTCATTAAATTACTGTAAATAAGTTTTCTTAATTACCAACTATTCTGTGATAGTTAACATTGTGACCGAAAAGGCCTGTTGAAGGGAGTCGCAATAAAGTATGTCTGCATGTATGTAAGATAGTGTACATGTACATGTCACATATCATTATCTATATTTAGTATTCTATTTTTAATGTGGTCTTCACGTTATATTGAATTTATGAGATTGAAAGTTCTGCTTACAACTTCTTGGCAATATTGCTGGAATAACCCAGGTTCATAAGGAGAATCAGCTGATTCACAGCAAAATGTTGTGTGATGCATGTAACTTATGCAACTTTCTTGGGAACATAAGTATTCGACAATCAATTATTATTAATTTTGTTTCAAAATACTATTAGAATCTAGACCTTAGCTTTTGGCCAGCTAACCTTTGGAGAAAAATTTTGTATTAATTATTTTACCATAGTTGTTGATACAGTGAAGGTCATACATAATAATTATTAGTATAATAACAATAGCATAGTTAACCTGCTTACTTTACAATTTCCTGTCATTTTTCTCATGTAGTTTCAGTGTTGTGGTGGAAAGGACTACAATAACTGGCAAAAGAACCTTTATTTCAACTGCTCCTCTCCTGGTGCTGAAGCTTGTGGTGTTCCATTTTCTTGTTGTCGAGAGGTAAGTTGTTTTGTGAACATTAAAACTAACAGCACCCATAATTATTCCAGTGACGAATGACACAAATTTTACATTTATATTCACATATATAATGAACAATAAACATTTATTTACATCTTTAATTTACATCAATATGCATATTTACATTGGTAGTCCTATTTATCCACCATTACTACACTGTATCTCCACTGTTTCTGTTGACTTTTTTAAAAACAACTGGACAACTGAGTTGTGTAAACCCTGTGACTTGATCAAATCAATACAATCAATACAATCTTTATTTAAACATGAAACATTAGTGAGCCTAAAGCAAAGGTTCATCTGTTATACTTATAAATGTATGTATATACCTTCCTAAGATGTATACAAAGAAACTGCTGGAAAAAAAAAACTCTCTGAGCTATTGACAACCAAACAATCAACTAATACAGAGATTGCAATGACAGTCGACCTGGCCCAGCTGAAGTTCTTTGAACTTGGCAATGAAATTCTTGAGATCAGGTTTCTCTTGATGGTGTGTATTTGCAGAGGTTGAGGGAGAAAAGTAAAGGTACATGTAGAAAGGGGAAAAAATACGATCAAAACTTTATCACCAACACCACAGAACTAGTTTAGGCAACTTTTTCATTTGGTTTCATAGGAACTTTAAATAACATGATAACTGTTTATTTTCTGACAGGATACTCTCAACACACAGTGTGGCTATAATATCAGAAAACCCTCATACACTGTGAGTAGATTATTATTGTTCTTTTTACTGAGCAGCAACAATAACAACAACAACAACAACAACATGACTTTATTTGTACTCAGCTAGAAATTAGAAATTAGATGAACAAAACTAAGTTAAAATAAAAAGAGTACATGGCTGCTCGAAATAGACAAACTGTAAATAAGCCATCCATCACAAGTGTCCTTTTCACATAAGTCTCCACTGTGACGGTG